GTCACCAACAGTTAAAAACTTTCTGAGTTTATGTACCTGTGAGCTTGAGCATTAAGGGCTCATGGCAGACAGAACATTTTAAGAATGTTTTTAAACATTTTAAACGTTTTTAAACATGCCCCATCCCTGGATGTCTTCAAGGCCAGGCTGGATGAGGCTTTGAGCAACCTGGTCTAGTGCAAGGTGTCCCTGCCCATGGCAGGGGGGTTGGAACTAGATGATCTTTAAGGTCCCTTCCAACCCAAACCATTCTGTGATTCTATGATTCTTAAAGACTTGCATTGTCAGGTGTAGGGACAGATGGATTAGCAGCAAGAGACCATCTGATGGCAGATAAAGTGAATGCTGGTTATCTGATGACTGCGACAATAAGGAGTTTATCCTATGGTTTTCACCTAAGCAAGATTTACTTTATAATATAACCTTACTGATACTGAAAAAAAAAAAAAAGAAAGCCCATCATAGAATCATAGAATGGTTTGGGTTGGAAGGGACCTTAAAGATCATCTAGTTCCAACCCCCCTGCCATGGGCAGGGACACCTTGCACTAGACCAGGTTGCTCAAAGCCTCATCCAGCCTGGCCTTGAAGACATTGGACACTTCCAGGGATGGGGCATCCACAGCTTCTCTGGGTAACCTGTCCCAGTGCTTCACCACCCTCTGCGGGAAGAACTTCTTCCTGATATCCAATCTAAACCTCCCCACTTTCAATTTAAACCTGTTACCCCTTGCCCTGACACTACAGGCCCTTGTAAAAAGTCCCCCCCAGCTTCCTTGTAGCCCCTTCAGGCACTGGAAGGCTGCAATAAGGTCTCCCCGGAGCCTTCTCTTCTCCAGGCTGAACAAGCCCAACTCTCTCAGCCTTTCTCCATAGGAGAGGTGCTCCAGGTATATCAAATACAAAGATTTAGAGGTCATTTAAAAAAGATACAGGAAAAAATATAAAATGAGACAGAAAAATAAAAAAGTACCAACGTACTTACTTTTTGCAGCAGAACCCACTCTTTTTATAAGAGAAATTTGAGTTATCTTTCAATGACCTTAGTCCAAAGCAAACCAGTCATTAATCATCTACTAAAATAACAGCAGATTCGAAGAACGGGTAGCAAGACGGGATTAATTGCTCCCCCCATCTGCAGGAGGTGCTGGGGCAGGTGCTCTCACATCTCACCACACAGCTCCAGCTGTGCCTACGCAGCAGCCCTCGCCACATGCTCATGGCTGAGTCAGCAAGAAAAGCACCAAAGTTATGGAAAATACCTGCACTTGACGCTCTGCACTTTCAACTTTGGGACTTACCTTCTGTCACTCTTTCTAAACTGTAAAATGGAATTTATTCTCCACTGTCAAGACTAATTATCAAGCACCATATACACAGCCCAGACACAAAGTTTCTACTGCTCAATCTACCCTTTGTATTACTGTAGTAATATAATTCACAAGTGCAGTAACAGGCTCATCCAATGTGCACACATACTGATTCTCCCAGCTGAGCTGAGCTGAAAGTTCAGTTGTATTTTTACAAGCCATTTAAGTATAGTATCCATAAAACCTGCAGCCTTTCCATGGCATAGCTTTTCCTCGTCCAAATACAGCATTAAAAACAGTTTTCCTGAGTAGCCACCAGATACCATCTTAAGACCATTAGTAAAGTGGCAGCTGTTACAGTGAAACACAAAGCTCCAAGGCTGCATGCAATTCCTGTGGGAAGCGAGCACCTTGCAGTTACAATCACCGCACATCTCCATGTTCCGAGTTGCACATCAGTGCATTATTTCAAGGAAAACTTTGGGAGCATAATAAAACTTCTGCTGCTCAGTCCTCCTGTAGTGGACACCTTGAGAGAAGGTTAAGTCATCTCAATTCTGTAGTTCAGATAGCCCTATTTTTCTTTTTTTAAATATTGTCTCATTAATAGTTGATTTCTATCAGGTTAATCATTTGACTTTTTATCAAGTAAAGTCTATTTCTAAAGCTCACTTCCATTTTCTTTGTCAGAGCTAATAAGAAAAAAAAAAATTAAAAGCTACAAGAAATCTGTAGTTCAATTTATGCTTATCTCTCAGAGAAATGCATTGTAACATTAGAATTTGATATACCTCTGGCCTTACTGGGTCTTCAATGCCAACAACACAGATGCAAGTCAGGTCAGATAATATGTCATTTTCGTTGTCCCAGTCAGGCTCCGGGCTGCTGTTAAAGTCTCGGAAAGCAACACAGATAGTTCTCAGTCCATCACAGGCCATAGGTTCAATCACTTTCTTCACCATTTCATCTCGGTCACGTGGTCTGAAGACACGAGGTTCACCAGCTGCATTAAGAATCCTGGAACATCTTTTTTATTTAAGAAAATGGGGAGGGGGAAGGAAGTTGATTATGTATTGGCATGACTGCAGAGAAATGCTTCCTTTTATCAGCTTGTTTCATTCAACACTTTCCTCTTTTGCTGGCAAGTTTTTAATTTCTAGTGCAGATTTTTAGATTAAACAAGAAAATTCACTATAAAATATCCAAGAGAATTTGCTTGTAACTTACTACAGAAACACCAAGAGCCCTTCATCCATTATTTCCTCAAAACCCATGTAATTAATGAGCTGACAACCTATAATGAAATTGAACAATCCTAACTTTCCAAATGGGTTGAACATAAATAATCCATTTGTAAACTACTGAGAGCAGACCCAATTCTTTGGCTAGCCAATGATAAGAAAAATAAGCTAAACAGTTTTGAAATAGTGAGGACTTAAATTTCTTTAGAAAAGAAAAATAACAGCTTATACTACTAACATGTGCCACATTTCTACTCTAAGTAGCAAATTCCAAATACCAGAATCCCCATGTATGGCTTATTAGTGTCAGAATGTTTTGCTTTTTGGAAAAACACAGCAACTAATCCATTGAACTTACTTCTTCAGAACAATTTCAGAAGCTCCTTTGCTGTACATTCGGAAACTACCATCTGGCATTTTAATGACGGTACTCATGGACTTTCTCACAGAGTTGAATGTGTAAACTTTATAGAGTTTCTCCTCAGGGATGAGGTTCCGAACAGGCTCATAGTCCTGCTTCAAATCCAGGACAAATCCCAAGAGACCACACTCCGTCTTATTGCCTACCTGGCGAGGCAGCCCGCCCTCTTTTTCTGGTGGCTGAAAAGAAAACGTGAGATATGAATTTCTGTAATGGCAGGCAGCACACATACCTTCTGAACAATTACGAACAAAGTGACTGTGTACTGACCAAGATCTGAAACCCTAACGGCGCAGTCACGCACCTTCCAATTTCGAAAAGCTAGCAACAAGTCTGGAGAGCTGTAACAGACTTGAGGCAGCTACTCTTGCAATGGGGAAAACGACCCTAGAGTAACAGCTACATTAGGTCTCTTCCATTTCTTCTCTTGAATAGCCTGCATATGGCGATACATCATTAAAAATGGAGTACCTTTCCGTAGGCTCAAAAATAATTAATTCCCATTTCTCACAAACAGAGGATTTCCTTTTCTCACTTGCTCAGAATTAGACTGTTTTGCTGACTTCCATGGTTATAATAGTGAGTTAAAGAAAGACTTCTATCAGGCATTTTTGCCTAAAATAATAAATCTGCATCTAATCATAACAGCAAATCTCAGTGAAAAAGGTATTTCCACCAATCTATAAAATAATAGCTCTACATCTAAAAGTACCTGGGTTTAGCATTGCCACACTTCACTCTGCTGCTTCAGACAATAAATATCTTTATATGTCAGAAAAAATTGAATAGGCTACACATCTTGCAACTCCTGACAATCTCAGTCCTTCAGGGACAAGGAAGGCTTTATCTTCCCATTCAAAATACAAAAAAACCCAAACATACATTTCACTTACAAACTTTGTTGGAGGTGTAATATGTCCCAAACAAAAAGTTCCTGTGCTGTCAAGACTCTAGACTGACTTAAAGTGACCAGTGTGTGAACTGTCGGTAACTCAGAAAAGTGTTGCTTAAGCTAGGGCTGAACTACACTTACGGGAACCAAAAGAAGTCATCCTTTCACAATTTTAATTTGTACTGAAAACAGATTTTCATTTGACTCAAGAAAAGACTGTGAGCCATAGTTTTCAATGCAATGTAAACTTCTGCCTCACATTTTTCAGAATTAGGACTGCAGGGCTTTATTCAGAATCCATGTTTAACATTACTATAGCCTTTAAAATCCAGTCTACTTTGGAAATGGGATTCCTGCGTAGATGGAATTCCCTACATTGCCCTTCAGTAGGATGAGGGGGTAACGCAGGGCATGATTAAAGTCACAAGTCAGTAACCTTATTTAGATTTCAATTCTTGCAACAAGTATGGCCACCAAAAGGTAAAAGGAACTTTTAAGGAAGCATTACTAAGTATGTATTGCAGATAACCACCAATTGCATCTGGTTTAAAAAATGAAGGTCAGATAGAAAGGAATAGACTGTCCCAGAAATGAAGTAAGTAAATAAACACAGATTTTTCCATCAGAATTATCTTTCTGAGGACAGATAGATTCATGTCATTTAATTTTCAGAGAAATGCATCTATGATGAGCAATACATAATAATCTAAAAATCTCTGTCTCAAAGAGATTTACCCCTCAAAAAAGAATTGTAACATCTCTCTTCTACATAAACCATCATTTTTATTGAGTTATATTGCGTTGCCATGACGTTTCAGCATTACTTCAGGGTCAAAAAAACAGTGACTCTCAGCAAAAATGCTAATATGATATATTAATTTTATTATATGCTACAACAACTTGCCCTGCTATAATCCCATTATACTGTGATGTAACTTCCCTCTGGATGCTCAAATTCACTTAAGAATCCCTAATTCAAAACCCAAGTGCTTGTAGTTATGTGTATCTGGAAGGATTGTTACATTCAGTGAATATGAGAATCTGAGGTTTTAAAAAAATACCCTTTGAAATACAGTTTTGTTAAAATAAATAAGGTTCATTTTCATGGTGTTGCAAGCACGCAGTTCCTGAAGTATGCTAAGAACTTCACATTTCTCAAAGCAACAGAACAACCAACTTCCCTGCCTCGGTAGTGATGCTAGGAAAGACTGATTTCTCTGTGCATGTCACATCAAACTCTTTCCATTTTAGATCTAAATCCTCATTTATGCTTTGGTGCTCTGTGCTACTGAAGTCAGTAAACCTGGACATTGGCTTAAATGTGAATGTGATCAAGCCACTAGCAAACACACACTGGAAACCAAGGAAAGACGGATTTCTTTATCCTAGATAATAGTTGATTTGTACATGATTTCATCTTGCCCTGATGCAAACAGATACTGAAAAAATAAAAATCTACCCACATTTCACAACATCTAAAATGAAATGTTAGAGTCCTTCTAAAATGATTTTTATTTCAACAAAAAGGAGATCACACTAACCTCCTCTTACTGTGGTCTAAAAATAGGTTTCTTTTAGTGAACATCTTTTGAATGCAAATACGTAAGCAAGGGGAAAAAAATACCAGTGAAAAGAAAATGAACAGACATTTCAGAAAGGTTTCAAAATCTAACAAGTAGCCACCTCCCTCCAGAGCAGCTGCTGTCTCCATGTTCTTTGCACATTACATTATAATAAAGCATATGGTGGTGAGGGCTGGCAAGTAGCACTTCCTTCCCTGTGCCATTTCAGCTCAAAATCTATATGCCAAAACCAGTCTCCTTGCAGATTGCTCTTGACAATCCTTTGCAGAAGCTGCTGGCTTTTAAAATTTCCTACTGTGCTGTATCTAAATTTATTTCTTGCTGCAATCTGCGGTTTATGGCACCTGGAAAACAACTGAAAGGACAGCCCAAAGGACTTGCTTTTGGATAATAAACTAGGAGCACCTTCACTGGCTCCTCGGAGAATGGAAACCCTTTGGCAGCGTATGAGAGCGCCTTTGGACTGAGACTTGCAAACAGGAACACAGACTTTGTGAACACGCTGTTTCTCAGGAGCTGAGTGAAGGATCTTTAGCTAGTCACAAGTCTGCCACATGCGTACAGGCTTCTGCTAGGAAGAGACTGCTCCACGATCTTCCTCCAATGACGACTTTTCACTGATCCTTGCAAAACGTTTTCAAATGTTCCTCCCAAGTCTTTATATTATTCTTGTAATAACAATATTTAAATGGTAACTAAATACTTGTAAATACATGTAAAATGAACTGCAGACAGATGTTAAAAAAACGGTCGTTACAACTACGAAAGCAAAATAGGTTTCTAGGTCAAAGTACAGCTGTATTATTAAAGCTTAAAAATACCAACCCAAAAGCTAGTATTGACCTAATATTGAATTTGGATTAAAAAATGAATTTTCAGAATTATTTCCCTGGAAAATAACTGACTAATAAAACAGGCTAAGAAGGAAGGAAGATTAAACAGTGGGCATTTCTTAAAAGCACGCTTCAACTTTTAAAATTAGATTAGGAAATTAAAACGCTTACATTTTTACTATAACACTTCCTAAACCTCATCTTTCTCATTGCCCCTGTTGAAGTGAAAAGAGAGGACCCAGCAAGAAGATCCAAGTTGTCTTTCCAAATCAAAATGTTAGGATTTCGTGTATTAACTGAAGTCTACATTTGGTTTGCATTATTCTCCTGTGTCCTACAGACTGAACTACTCCTTTAGAATAATGATGGTTATAAATATATAAATTTTAATATTATAAAAAAATTAACTTTGCTAGAATATTATATACCCATATCGAATGTTCCATTTCAACTCCATTTACAATAGGCAAACAGAGGAAAATACATTTTTTAAATTAAATTGCAAAACATTTCCACTCTATATACTCAAAGAAAATTGACCAGGATATGTAGGATTTTTCTCTGAATATTTAAGCATTATATATGTAAAATTTAAAATAACCAAGGAGGATGAAAGCTGTTTGAATCATGTGGTATATTTATTTTTTAAATCCTAACCCTCTAAAAAGGAAAACTACTAAACAAACTATAGTACTATCAAATTCAGAGATATTCCCTTGTTAAGTAACTTGAATCTATGGTTTTATGGAAGACAGTGAAAGAAGTATTAAAACAAAGCTTATAATCAAAAGTCTCAACTTTTTGTAGATACAGGTTTGTTCAACTGACATCAAGCTAAACCAAGACAGATTTAGAAATGACTGTTTATCTTAGAGAAAAACTTAAAAATGAAAGGAGTTCTTTCTATCCAAGAATTAGGAATCTAAAACTTTGCTTGACTAAAATTTTTCAATTACAAAATGGGATACAGTTTCAGAAGATGTTTTGAAAATAAGACAGCAGTAATACTAGACATCTGCTACTCTTGTTTTCATTTATGGTGTCTCTGCGATCCTGTTAACTACAGAAGTTCAACAGCAGCAATGTTTTTTCTCTTCTTTATAAAATGACCATTTCCACAGATCCTTCACCCCCAGCTATAATCTGGATTCTGGATGCCAAACACCAGAAACGAATTTGCTTTATCTTCTCTTTTGTTTTTCATTATTTGTTCTAAGAGTATTCATTGTTTTCTAGCTGCATAACTACATGGGAATGCTCATCCCTTCGTAAGAATGGAAGAGAAACCTTGTTAAAGCTTGTCTGGAAATAGGTTGGGTTTGATATGCAAAGATTCTCTTACAGACTTTTATTTTTTTCTTTTACACTTTCATTTGCTGTTCAGGAAGCTTATTTAACAATCCTCTCTGACTTTTCCCAAACAATACTGTGGAATTTTCCTTTGGTTTTACTGACCTTCTGCCCACATTACACCTTCAACAGTATCTCAGCACATCGCATACTGCTGGCTCTCTGAGCACACCACAATCGACATAGTAAGTTTACTCATGGCTGGGATTAATTAACCTCCAAACATTTTACAGATCTTTGTAGATTAAAACAAAGAAAAAAAAACCCCAACAGAATACTAAAGATAAATTTCATTACAAATACCTGGCATCAGCTCTATACTGTTAAATTTTGTTATGAATTTACCTTCATAAGGTCTTTATTTAGGAATAAAAATCAGTCATTATATCTTGTGCAGATTTTGATCTTCGCTACCCTTGAGGACACATCTAAAATAATATTAGTGACTTGACTGATGAGGAAGATCACAATTTGTCCTCAGACTGTTTCGAATTTTAAGTAGTTTTTTCATTGTTATGATG